CTTGATTTATTTAATCTCTCTACGTGACATCTTTCTCTCTACCCTTAAAAACAAAAAACATAAACAATCTCTATTCACATATTCATAAATGATCAAACATTGTCTAGATTGATTATAAATATTATAAACACCTACATGAATTCACCCTTGTTATTATTATTATTGTCCATATTTTACTATATAGGAATGTTTATTGTTATGGCTAGTAAAGGACTGTAAAGACTAAATATGATTGGTCAGTTATTATCGATTAGCTGATAATATAAAACGGAAAATAAACTAAACCAAGCTGTAATTGATCTAAAATATGCCTATTAGAAATTTCAAATAACAGAGCTACATATATGCTCAGAAAATGTAATTGAAGATGAACTTAGTTGGGGTCGACGTTATATGACACTTCAATGAGAAAAAGTTACCCAGAGAATTCAATATTTATTTGTTTATGAGATATATCACACAGTGAGTGAAACAGTATTATTATTTACTGGATGAAAACGTTTCGAACAAAATTTATTACTGTTCATAATCATATCGCTGATTATGATCACACGAATTTGAAACTTGATTTTTCTAGTTTTCTTTGTTCTCTCCTATTTATCCCATCCTATCGTATGGTCAACTAATCTAGATTTTGCTGTTAGGTTTTTATGCTTGGCTAGTCTGACTGCCCCTGTTCTACTAGTTTGCCTTATGTATTTGACCTGACACACAATCATTCCAGCAGGGTATTAGATAGACTAAATTGTTTTGTTTTAAAGACTCCACAGGAGCCTTTAACCGACAAAGCTTGTTTCTAATTGAGTTTGTGGGTTTGAATGCCACTTTTATTCCTGCCTTGTTGAGAATTCTGCATAAGGTTCCCGAGGTTCCTTTCTTGTATAGAATTACTACTGATGATTTATTTTATTTTTTATATTTTTGATTACAGCTTGATTCCACACTGTATTTTTGGTACAGGTCTCTGTTCGCTAGCCCGGAACGGGATGAAAAAGGCGGAGAGGTGGTCAGTCCATGACGTGGCGTCGTGGGATGAAGGATTTTTGTGCTACATTAGCATCGGTTGGTGTGTTACGACTCCCTGGTTGGGGTCGAGGGATAGCTCAAATCGATGGCTCGAAACGTTATCGGATATGGCCAAGAATAGCAATCAATGACGAACGTGTTGCAATTCCCTTCTTTCTTCCCTTCCAGATGATAGTTAACGAATACTGTTTGATCTTGTTAAGCTTGACTGTCTTCCTTCCAGATGAAGTTCTTTATCCGTTCCCTACTTATATACATATTTTTCTCTTCCTTCCTTCCTTTTTTTCGTTTTGATCTATGTTGTTTTATTATTATTGTGTGGCGCATCCTTCTTGGTGCCATATTGTACCAAGTTTTTATGCGTTTAAATAAATAAAATGGAATTTTCAGTATGGATATCGGTAGCCCAAATTTTGCAGGCCGACCATAGATATCAGGTGTGTGTCGGCAGGGGATCAAACTTCGGAACATGTGCATGGTCGGCGAGAGTTCTAAATAGTGTGTTGCCTTCCGCATGTTTGACATGGATGTCGTCATTCATATTACTATTACTGTTATTATTACTGCTAACATTACTTATTTTATTTTTACGTTTTCCTATATATTTTCTGATTAATTTATCAGCTTAATTATTAGGTTTTTAAAACTTCTCTTATATGTCTCACTTCCCGTCTTAGATTTTCCTTCATACTGTGGTGAGAGGTGGCCGTGAGAAAATATGAGCGAGGCTGATTCAGCAACCAATCACAGCAGACTTAACGTGGCAAAATATGATTCGCAGATAGAGAACTCCATTTTTCGAGGAATCCCGGAACATCCAATCAGAAGCCTGCGTTTGTCTGCTTAACTTCTGATAAACAACCAATCAGAAGACTGCGCTTGTCTACTTGAATAAGCTATAATAAAGTATGTGAAATATATATAAATACGTGTTGATTTTCGTAATAAACGATCTGTTGCCTAGCCCTTGTCTTCTGTTGTTACAATACTACTTAGTTTTTGTTTCACCAACTCTTTTTGTACTGATATAGGATGGGATGATCAAAAATCCAAATATCTGTTTGAATATGTGGGTTTTCTGTAAAAACCAGTGTGTTTTAACTTCCCATCTTCTTTCCTTTTTACGTTGCAATCTAACATTGGAAGCTCCCCTTTCCTGGTTGCCTCCAACTTTGAGTTAATGTATTCGAAAAATCTATCTATATTCTGTGTTCTAAGTACCGTGAATGTATCATCTACACACCTCCACCATACTTCGACGGGGATTGAGGCTGAAGGTTACAATCGTTATGTTTTCCCACCTATCTATGAATATATCTGTTACAATCGATGATACTGGTGACCCCATGGCAACTCCCTCAGTTTTTTTGTGTATTTTCCCCTGGAATGTAAATACTGTGGAAGTGAGGCATAGCTGCACTCCCAGTATTATGTCCTCAAGTAGCACTTTCGTCCTAAATTCGAATTCTTGGTGATAAATGAGTTCTTTTCTGACTGCCTCTGTAGCCATACTTATTGGTATATTTGTGTATATAAACTGACAATGCCAAAACTAACCATTTTCTCTTCATCATCTAATTTTAAATTATCTAATCAGTGTTTTTTTTAATACCTTCACATTCCCAGGGGAACATAGGGCTTCAAGCTAGAAGCTTGAAGTTTCTGTAGCAGTGTTTATTTTTACAGGATGGGGTTGCTAGCCTCATGCCCAACCTTTCCTCTTTACCAGCATTATTACTGGTTTAGCGAGGTAAAGGAGTGTGTCGGCCGGGGATAGAACCCTGGACCATGTGCATGGTCGGCGAGTGTTTTAGTTCATAGGAATTTGTTGGTTCAGATTTTGAATGGCTTTTAAGGGAATTTAATACCATGGTTAAATATTTAGATAATTCATAAGTAGGTGAATTTCTAAAATCAACTATAGGCCTAATTAGGTATCCCGACTTACTAACTTTAACAACACCATACATCAACGGAAGAGAATACGTGTAATAGGAATGATTCAACACCTGTCCACCCAGATATCTGGAAAATCCTACTACCCTTACGGCGACAAATAGGCGAAGACAAAGAAAACTAGAAAACTCAAGTTTCGAAATCGTGTGATTATAATTGGCGATATGATTATGAACAGTAATAAATTTTGTTGGAAACCTTGTCATCCAGTAAATAATAGTACTGTTTCACTGACTGTATGACACATAATAAATGAACTAATATGGAATTACTTACTACCACAGTGCCCAAGTTTTACACACATATATTAGTTTGCCAGAAAAGTTCATCAGGAAATAGATGACAAAGATAATAGGATAGGACTATTCTCTATCTGTATACAAGAAGAAGAAGAAGTCTTCAAATACACGACTGCAATTCATCAAGGGTGACGTACCAAGTGATGAAATAATTACTGACAAGTTATGAAAATCTATTCATCAAAGAATTTTTAATTCTGGTAAACTACAAGTTATATTCTCTATACGATTGGTTGTGATTCTTCGATTGAAAGACGAAGTACCTAGACTAGACCAGACTAGACTAGAGTAGTCGCCTCTAATTGTATCCATCAATTCAACTGAGCTTGTGGTGGAGCGAGTTAGTCATATTTACCGTTGCTCTAGGAAATGGATTTTTCGTGCTCACTCGGGGACGCCTACGATTGTGGTGTGGCTAAATAAAGGTGAAACGAAAACCATTATCACCTGGTCCACCCCACCCCACCCCGGCATTGAAGAATTCTTCCCCATCATCATCCATCAGGTACCATATAAATAAATTGCCAAAAGCATCCAGGTATCGAAGACTCCAAACAGCAGAGGCTATTGTGACCCGCCCAAAACAACCGATGCTCTATGTTTGTGAGTGTGTGTGTGTGTGTGTGCAAAAGAAATAGGTCCAGCTAACCAGTCAGCCACTATTATTGCCCTGGTCGACCTTCTTCTGTGAGGCCACAATATGTTATTATCTACTTGACATCATAAACGGCTGATATAAGAATAAAACTTGAGCTGCACTGTCATGGTAGAGTATAATTCCATTATGGGTAAAAATTTATTTTGATAAAATCTCACAGAGTGTTATACGATAATATTTACTGAGCATAAAAATTGTGCTCGAAACGTCGTCATCAGTAAATATTACTGTAAAACACTCTGTGACACTTTATCATAATAAAATCTTATCCATAATGCAATCATAAATGGCTCTCTGAACTAAGTTAAACCCGGTGGGTGGTTAGTACACTGCTGATGAGCTCGACTGTAGACAATGTCAGGTGACATAGGATGGATCAGGTTGGAAAAGAGTTGGTTAGTGGTTGGCAGTCAAATCAAAACATGGCTCCATCAGTCAATGAAATCTGCAACAGTTAGTTTAAGCCACGTAGGAAGGTGTAGACTTCCTGACTGGCTGCTTGGGGTCCTCGGGAGGGTAAAAATCAATGAAGACTGGAGACAATCGGTGATATGGCTCAAAATATTAGTTGTCAACCGCTGGCATAGATGCATCCACTCCTTGTAACTTATAAAACCCAATAAAACTCTATTGTTCTTCGTTACTACTATTCTTTTTACCTCGTATCTCTGTTTACTATCGCTATTTTGCATTTTTTTTAACTTTCTTGTCTTGCTTCGTGTGCTACATGGAGGGAGTGTCGCGACTCGAACTTCTGCACATCGTCTCAAAGCAGTTCTATGTTGAAACCAGTCAATTAGTCAGTCGACTCGAGACGAGCAAATCGAGCCTTCAGTGTTTAGCTCATTAAGATCTGGCTAGTCAGCAAACGCTAACTGGTTGATATGAGTAGTAAGCAACTACTAATAACCGATCAATCAGTAGTATACGCGAAAACATACTCTTTTTGACTAAAAGATACAAAAGATAACCCCCCCCCCCTAACTTTAAAACATGAAACTCGCAGAGTAGGAAAAATCATGGTATCAGTAATTATAAAAAGACAAAACTGAACAACTTACGACGAGGATAACCACTATCAGACATTGGGAATAAATCAAGTCGTCGATGATACTCCACTGGCATTGATTTGCGTACACGATAAATTTTAGGCATACTAGGCATTACTTTTGTTGAATCATTATTATCTGGCATTGTGAAAGGACCTATCTCACAGATTAATAGACCTGGACCAGGATTCTGTTGTTCAGCGATTATTTGACCCCATGGATCAATAACTAAACTATGACCATAAGAGGATCGTTTAACATTGTGGCTTCCTTCCTATGTAGAGAAAAATAAAAGTAAAACTCGAAGGAATCAGGAAACACCAACCAAAGAATAAACCTCAACAACATGTTATCGATTTATTTCATCATGAGCTGACATTGGTTAGAGTACCATTGAGAAACCAGCTGGGAGTACTGGACAGCTATTTCATTAGCCTAGTTTGAGACTCTTCGTCAGTACGCACCCACCGGGGTATGTAAAAGGTCGGGTGTGATGACAAATACTCGCCAGCGATGACATATTGGCTAGTGTCAGTCGCGCTATCCCCTGTGTGAATTGGCAGAAGTTAGAATTCATGGACTGGCCATTGGATAGGGTCCCAGTGGCTGCTTAATGGTCTACGAGCTAGCTCGCCTTGTAACGGGAAGGTCCTGGGTTCGAACTGCGGTGGGTGCGTACTGATGAAAAATCCCAAACTAGGACGAAACAGTTGTCCCGTACTCCCTGCAGATTTTCTAATAGCTCTCTAATCAATGTCAGCTTATGATGAAATCCTGTAACCAACCAAATTCCCACAAACCAACACTTGAATATGATGTCGATTTAATTTGGTGGTGAATACCATCGTGAAGGACTCTTCTCAGAGGGGAAGGGAGTGACTACAATTACCACGAAGGAAACTGGCAGCAGCGTCGTTAACTCAAGAATCAGTGATATCAGTAAAACTATGAGATATTTAGTTTCACAATTCAGTATTCTGATTGATAAGCATATTTACAGCTTAACTAGAAGGTTCTAGATTCGAATCTTAATGGTGTCTTGTGCGGTTGGGAACAGTTAAAGTCTTAAACGGAGACGAAAGAAACGTGAGGTATATCTTAACTTTCGGTGATTTACCGGCTGATAACAATTATTCGTGGAGATTTCCTTAAAAATGAATCAATGCACTCAATGACTCAAAACAGATGTAGTGGTTATATATATATATATATATATATATATATATATATTATTTTCGAACGACAGATGACTGCATTTCCTATGATATATACCGATTGATTATCTAAAACAACCGTTACTACGATGCACCTTCAACGTATACTTAAGTTTCAACAACGAAATCTACAGGCAAATAGATGGAGTTGCAATGGGTTCTCGACTAAGACCCCTCTTGGCCAACTGCTGCTTTATGGGGCTAGTCATTATTTGTGATGAGAATTGTGATCTAAAAAAAAACCACCTACTTCAAATCTTCAATAACGCCCACCCGAGCATCGACTTCACTCTGGGAAGTTGAGTGTAACTCAAAAGAAAAAAAAACGAAGCAAGAGAAGAGATTAAAGCGAGAAAAGATTCAAAAGGGAAAGAGACAAAATAAAGAGAATTGTGAAGGAAAAAGAAGAATAGTAATATGGAAGAACAACACAGTTTTATTGTATATGGTAAGCTACAAAGAGTGATTGCATCTGCACTGTCATTGACAACGATTATCAGCTATATCACCAATTGTCTATAGTCGCGATTGATTCTTACCATCTAAAGGACACCAACCAGCCAGTCAACACCTCCCTCCCTATGTGGCTGGTTGGCTGGCTTGAACTAAGTGTTATGGATTTGATTGACTGATGAAGCCACGTTTTTGTTTGACCACCACTAACCCTTTTCCAAACTGATCCATCTTATGTCAGCTAACACTACCCGTCGACGAAAACGATAGCTAGGCATGCGTAACACATGTCCTAACCTCAATATCACTCACCCTATTTTACCACGTAAGACGGGAGAAAGAACACAGACAACTATGATCAAAGATAGCCAGCTAACTAGCCATGGTATGCCTTTCACTTTCAACGGGAGTTATGTCATAGCCAACCAGCCATAAAGCAGGACGCAACAAAGTGACTCAGACTGAGTCTGAGCAGTACACACGTCTATTGATCGATAGTCTGCCGCATATCATGTCTACTAAGCCAGAGATTGGTTAGCTTGGCTGGGAAGTGCAAAACGAGCCTTCTCTATCCATGCTGAGATTTCGTCAGCAATCAGCCCGTTGGTGCTGGCTAATCCAACTTCCACGTAAATAAATGAAGTAGCTGGTCAACACGCTGCACCAAAAACACTTCACTCCTGGCCTATCTTCAAGCTATGAGTAAGTCGATGTAGTCCAGTTCAGCCCTGTAGCATTATCTTACATTTGACAAAGTGAGTGAATCGCATTCAAAGACAACTGGTCAAGGAAGAAAGAGGTCAAATTAAGAAGAAACCCGTTGAAATGAATGTATAATGAGTTGAATAGGAGCAGGCAAGGGTGGATAAGCAAAGTACTCCTCTACAACTCTCTCTCTCTCTCTCTCTCTCTCTCTGAGGTTATATTCCTGCCTCATAACTCCTCAAAAGATAATGTCAGATGAGGACAAAAATACAACAGTCAATTGATGATGACAAGATGTACAACACATCAAGTTCAGTTTACACTTTTGTTAAGCAGAGCAGAGCAGAAAAAGACACGCACACACACACACACACACACAGAGGGAAAGAGATGAGGTCACCGCCTACGGTTATGAACTACAAATGAACTACTACAATGTGATAATTCCATTAGATGAATGGAAAATTTTCATTGGTGAAATGTAAGAAGAAAAAAAAGAAGAAGAAGAGCATTGAATTTCTATGAGCCACACCTACCGTGTGTGGGGGTCAGGGGTGGGATTAAACCCCAGTAGGTGAAATAAAGTTGGAACCTGAGACTAACTGACTGATTGAAGCTAGACCGCCTAGAATAGAATAGAATAGAATAATAACAGCTTTATTCCAAACGGTATTTGTGGTACAGGTATGGAATTTTCAGCGTGCATTACAGTATATTGCATCTAATTACCTCATAAATTATATAAGATTTTTAAAATCAAAAAAATAAATATAAATAAAATGAATAAGTTAAAATAAATAAAATAAATAAAAATAAAAAAACAGCGTAGAGTATTACATTTCAAACAATGCACCACAGGATATGAAATATAAAATTGGTGTGTAACAGAAGATGAGAACAACAGTGTAATAGTAACGAGGAAAGGAAAACAAAAACTAATGGGACTATTTGTTAGAGTGCCGCAGTAAGTTTATCGTGTCATACCTAACGGATTTCTCATCACATAACAGCTGTGCCAGATATGGTATTGTGGAGTTTTTGTATTTGGTAGTCCTAGCATATAGCCGCCTATAGCTGCTTCTAGTTCTTCCAGATGAAATGCAAGGAGATAGATGCGTATAGAGAGGATGCTCGGGGTCCGACAATATTGTATTCGCTAGTTTCTTACATGACATAATATGTCTATCCACAATAGTGTTCACCAGTTGGTTTAACGATATCCCACTTGCCCTACTAACAGCTTTTAGTGCCCTTCTCAGCGAAGCAAAGTCTTTCTTAAGTAGTCCAGGAAAGACTAATGGGGAGCAGTAAAGGAGGATGGGTAGAATACAAGAATTTACAAACTGAGAAAGTAAAGACTGCTTTATACCAGACTGCCTAAATTTCCTAATGTAGAACGTTAAGCGAAACATCTTTCTAGTAACTAGCAAGATGTGGGAAGACCAGGAAAGATCGGTGGAAAAACTCAGCCCAAGGTACTTGACATTAGATGTATTTTCAACCTCTGTGCCGTCAATGATAGTGGGGCCATGTGAGCTAACTAGTTGCTGTAGGTCACATTTACGTCTGAAAGTGAAATTGACTACCTGACATTTAGACGGATTAAGCTTAAGTCCGTTTGAAGAGGACCACTGACTAATTTCCGACAGAAAGTTATTTAATTTGGAACAATCTGACTGAGAGTTGACAGGCATAGAAACCGAGAGGTCATCGGCATACTTAACAAAAGTGGCTACATCAGAATGAGGCAAGTCATGTAAGAAAAACGAAAACAGAAAGGGAGAAAGAACAGCACCTTGAGGAACACCAGCTAAAGTAAGTGAGGTAGTGGAGGACTTTCCATTGTAGACGGTGTACTGCTTCCTTTCAGAAAAATAGGAATGCAACCACTTATTTGTCCAGCTCTCAGCCTGTGTTGCAGCAAGCTTACTTAGCAAGAGAGACCTGGGAACAGAGTCAAATGCAGATGTGTAATCAAGGAAGGCACAGCGAACGTATTTAGCTCCTTTATCTAAACTAGAGACTATGCTATGGTGGAGGACAACAGCGGCATCTAACGTACACCTACTATGTTTATAAGCAAACTGGTTGGGGTCGTTGAAAGGTTTTAAAGAGGGATCAAGATTAAGTAAAATAAGTCTTTCCATAACTTTCAAAAGGGTGAGGTAATTGCAATGGGTCTAAACTTAACATTAGGTCCACTTGTTGATTAGAGGAAACTCTACACTCTAGAAAAGTTGGCGTATAGTATAATTGAACACCTTTTTTTTAATATCCTTATATCATATTACATCTTACAGGTATTCAGATAACCCACCCGTTGTACAACAGTTGGGTATCTTGTGAATAACCAACATTAATCGATAAGAGAAAGAATCATAGCCTAATTAACGCTCTCTACCTCTCTCTCACTAGACTAAAACAAAACAAGCAAAAATGAGATGATCACATATGATCTAAGAAATAAAATAACAGAAAAACAATTTGATTTTAAAAGAATGTTTTTGGCGACCTTGAATTTAAAATATGAATACGACTGCATTGAATAATGATGTTTGTTAATTAACAAGATAGTTTAAGAAGAGAAGAAGAAGAAGAAGAATAAAGGAGATCGGCAACAAAATGAAGAATGCACGTACCACAGTCAAATGACCTTAAATCAACCAATCAGAACGCGATCAGCATTAAAATGGATGAATGCTTTGCATAATCTTAATTAATGAACCTAACTCAATCCTACACTAGACTTAACCTTGAATCAGGGTGAAACTTGCAATCAAGATTATAAAAAGTACTCACTGATTTGTAATGCTTAGCGATCTGATTGTGTGCGTCGGTGGCAGCACAGAGGTAAAATGCTCGTCAACCACACATGTGGTCCGGGATTTCGATCCCCGGCCACTAGACGCACTCCTTTATCTCGCTAAGCCACTAATAAGACTGGTAAAGAAGGAAGAGATCTGATCGGTTGACTCAGTGTCATTTGACTGTGGTATCTACTTCCCGTTGCTGCCTTGTTCTCATTGAAAATAACTACCCAGGGCGTTTCATTATAAAATCTACGATGCCTGCACGATACGCACTTTTTGTCCTCAACGGAACTGTCTGTCTGAATCTGCATTTCAGTAGAGACTCATTGGCAGGAGGAAATACTGATAAATCGCCTGGCCTGCATACTGAAGGAAACCTCCTTTGCGGTTGAACTTCGAGTTACTCCCTCCCTCTCTCTCTCTCTACAAAACCAATGATTCGAATGGACGTGACGGATAAGCTACCACTGATGCCTTAACCAGTGTATATTTAACAACTCACCAGATCCTGTACCTCCAGGTATGTTGACCTTAGTCAGTATTACGTATTACCAAACATTTACCCTCTTGTTTTTACAGAGGGGAAGGAATATTAGATAGTTGGAGGTAATCGGCCACAAGAAGCCTTGGACACCACCTAGGTTTCGTGCTAGTTGACACTCATCAACAAGGCGTATCTGCAACCTTGAAGCAAATCATGTCCCTTCTGAGACTCGAACCCGCGTCACCCAGGTGCTGCAGTCAGCGACGTTACCACTGAGCTATTCGGGCTCGCAATTGACCTCCTGTAGGACTGACTGTATTGGGTGACCACATTGCAGAACCTGGCTGATAGAATTCAGTCTGCAGCAAAGAAAGGACTAGACACGACGCATTAGTTACTAGTGCCCAATCGAAATACCTGGGTGATTCTCAAAACCCAGCCAAATAGCAGACCAGGCTAACTTCAGAGTCATCTACTGAGTAAGTGAAAATCTTGCCAAAAACTAGTATGAATCAAAATTCGTCAAACTGCAGAAGTTATAAGTACCCGTACATTAAATTCTGAGCTCTGCATACAAAAGAAGTTTTTTCTATTCACGGAAACTAAAGTGGAATAGATTTGCTGCATAATTTTCTCAAGTTCTTTATTTTATTATTTACTTTCCCCTTTCCCTTTGTTACACTTGCACTCCTCTTGACAGTGGCCTTAACGTGACCCTGTTTCAATTTCAGTTGAGGTCAACTCAAACTACTTAATTCACTTTCGACCCGATTGATTCCTTCTGTACTATCTATCTTCTTTTACATATATGTCTATATTCCTTGACGTTCCCAGTCGAGCATAAGGCTTCAAGCTAGAGCTTTGAAGTTTCGGCAGCAGTGGTGTTTATTTCTACGGGATAGGGTTGCTAGCTTCATGTCCAACCTTCCCTCTTTACCAGTCTTATTACTGGCTTAGCGAGGTAAAGGAGTGAGTCTAGTGGCCGGGGATCGAACCCCGAAGCACGAGTGGCATGGTTAGTGGGCATCCTACCGATGTGCCACCGACGCGTAATGGATTATCTACACCAATGAAGGGACTAATGTTCCCTCTGAATTTCGAACCCATGTCACCAAGTGGTGTCGTCAGAGACGTTACCGCCGAGCTACTCAGGCTCGCAATTCTAATGAAAAATATTTGGAAACACCCACCATATATATATATATATATATATATATATATATATATATATATTGGTGAGTGTTTTTAGCTTTGTGAGGATTTCGATCAGTTTACCTGATGGGTTTTCATGAAGATCTAAAACCTGACTGTCAAAGGTCAGGTATGCAATACTTCGATGCGGGCCGCCTTGCTCTGCACCAGTGAAACCTGACCTCTCTGAGCTGAGGATGTGAGGCGGCTATATGTATTTATTAGTTGCTGTCTCCGCAGAATTGCTTGCGTTCGATGGCAACATCACGTAAGTAATTCTGAAGTCCGGTCCGACAGGTGTCTGTACACACTGGAAATCACTATTCATTGAGTGTCGTCATCTGGAAACACCAGGTCCGGTGGCTTGGACATGTTCTGCGAATGTCATCCCAAAGGCTTCCGTACATGACTATTTTTCCTAACCCTGGAGTGGGATGGAAGAGGCGGAGAGGTGGTCAGCTCATGATGTGGCGTCATGGGATGAAGGATATCAGTGTTAGGTTAGCATCGGTTGATACGTCACGACTCCGTGGTTGGAGTCCAAGAGATGGCTCGAAACGTTATCGGATATGGCCATGAATTGTAATCACTGGCGAACGTGCTGTAATTTCGTTCCTAGTTGACGAATACTGTTTGAACTTGTTAAAAATATGACTATTTTCCTTCCAGATGAGGTTTTTTATCCGTTCTCCACCTATATTTTTACTTTTAATCTGTCTTATTATTACTGTGTGGCGCATCTTTTTGGTGCCATATTGTACCAAGTTTTTGTATTGAAATAAATAAATAAAATAAATACTGGAGCACAACCTGATTCATTCCAGTTTGGGATATTTCAACAAGACGCACAAATAACTCTACCAGGGACTTAAAGACCTGAACCTTTAATGTTATCAGGCCAGTCAGTTCAGCATTTAAAGTCACTGGTTTGCAGTTCAATGAAATATGAATTCGAAATTGTGCCAATTTATGATACAGTGTCACCGTAAGTCATATTATACTACTAAAATGGCAACAGTAAAGAATACACATACTACAGCCAAATGACCTTGCACCGACCAATCAGATCACTCAGCACTACAAGTGGATGCATTTCATAATCTTCGTTGCAAATTTCAGGCTAACGTGAACCCTGAATCAGCTCTACTAGGTCCCAGGCTCTTTGTTCCATTGGTTGGTAACCTAAAAATCTTAGCTTCGATCGCCAAAGAAGTAATGGGTGCGCACTCTGGCGAAGTGTCTCAAACTAGGAAGAATTCCAATTCATCTCCTTCAACCTGGGTAGCCAGCTGGATGGATGGACAGTATCACTACCTCTTAACACAATAAGGTATGTGGCTAATACTCCCCTGCCCCGGTTATCAAGGTTCTAATTGTACCAACAGGAAATGGAATCAATAAGTATCGTTAACACCTTTCCATATCATTAGAACTCAGTTATCCAGAAACAGATTTTTCACATACCAAGAGGTTATCAGTTATATTTATTTTGAGAGAGAGAGAGAGAGAGGGAGCTGATCATACACCAACCGTGTAGACCAGGTTGAAGTTCGTGGGGGAAGGGGGGATTTTAAGGTGATGATCCTTGTTAAGTTTTTACGAGTTGATCAAGGATTGATATCGGTTAGAGAACCATTGAAAACCAGGGAGTACTGGACAGCCAGCTGTTTCATCCTAGTCTCTTGGGAATCATCCAGATGTCACGTGTGAGGATGGATGTCCCACCGACGACACTGGTTGAGGTCGCGTTAAATCACGAATTGGTAGAAGTTAGAATTCATGGACTGGTCATCAAATCAGGTCCCAGCGGCTGAATGGTGTACGAGCTAGCTTGCCTTGTAACCGGAAGGTCCCGGGTTCGAACCCCAGTGGGAGCGTACTCCCAATGATTCCCAAACTAGGATGAAACAGCTGCCCAGTACTCCAGTTCTGGTTTTCAACGGTTCTCTAATTGATATCAATCCGTGATCAACTCGTAAAAACATAACTAACCCTTACAAACCAAACTATAGAAGATACTTGTTAAGTAAAAATAAGAGTACAACATTATTTTGATATTGTTTAATAAACTTTTATAAAAACTGCAAAAACAGGAGGAAGAAGAAGAAGCGGTGGGAGGGATGGGGTGAGGTGGGAATTCCGGGGGTGGTGGGAAAGAAAGCACTACCTACCTGAGCTGCAGCAACCACATAACATTGATTTTCAATAGCTCTAGCTCGAAGTAATGTATGCCAATGACCTGCTTCACCTGCACACATTGTATATGCAGATGGATAGGTTAATACATGTGCATTTTTAGCATAACGAAGATGTCCTGCTAGCTCAGGGAATCTCATATCATAACACTGAAAGATAAGAAAAAAAAGAAAAAATACAACCATAAAAAATATATTTAGTATTTACCAGAGGAAATAGGATTTGACAATGCGTTAAGGATAAACTACCACTGATGTCCACCTCTGTATGTGCATCTATTCTCCATTCACATGCACATTCGTATGGAGAGCTGATCACATTGGATGTTGTAAGCGTATTCTATGTAAACGTGTAGCTGAACACTACCACCCAATTTGGTTAATGAAAGGTGAGTAAAAGATGACAAAGTTTTGAATTTGTGAACACCTTCCCAAGTCAGGTCATTCAGCTCCCCTCCCCCACAGGTGGTGATTTATCCTTCAAAGTTATAGGTGGTGAGAGCTGTCTGCTAACCAAATCGGTAGACAACAATTTACGTCAACATGTTTACGTTCCAAGAACAAAGCCTAACCTTGAGGAATTCACAAACCAATCAATCACGGCAGACTTCGCGTCAGCGGATACGATTAGCAGATATGTATCAACAGACTGTCTAAGAAACGGCAACATAGAGATGACAGAGGAATCTTCAGCAGGAAAACAACCAATCAGAAGACGTTGCTTCTCTCTGCTAACAATAATTCTAATAATAATGTACATAAAAATCTATGAATATATGTTGATTTCCTCAATAAACGATCTGTTGCTTGGCCCCTGTCTTCTATCGGTATATATATATATATATATATATATATATATATATATATATATATGCACAATCGTACACAAAACGATAGAAAAACCTCACAAAGTTAGTTCGAAATGTGAAAAATGTCATTTCCGTTCTTCTGAGCCCCCCCCCCCCATGAATAAACCGAGAGATTCGTAAGTTACTCAGACGCAAACACAAATGTTAGTGGACCAAATCCAATCACTCTGAAAGCCTACTTTTTCTCCATTTATGCATTGCCGAAGCTCTTGATATACATGTGCGTCGGTGGCACAACGGTTAGGACTCTCGCCGACCATACATATGGTCCGAGGTTCGAGCTCCCGCCGACGCACACCTGATATCTATGGTCGGCCTGTAAAATTTGGGCTACCGATATCATATGCTTAAAATTCCATACTTGTACCAAAAATATGGTGTGGAATCAAGCTGTAAACAAAATAAAAAAAAATTGTGTACACTGAAAAGCGTTTTGTCAAACCCCTTTTTCTTGACCTTGGTCATAGTAATGTTCTTTTATTTTATTCTATTTTACCACTGGAATTCATTTCACTTCACTTCATCTTCGCCGTCCGCATTGTTTATTATCACAATCGTAATCCTAATTTTCTTAAAACAACACCTGACTTACTATTTTTAAAATCTTTATACCAGTTCACTACAAATCTACAATACTAAACGCATTAAACAAGATCTGAATTTAAAACAATTAGTTCCCTTTATGAATTTAGACAAATCAATAAGAAGACGCAATTTGTCTGAATTGTGTAGTGTTGTATTTGCGCAACACATTTCTAACAATCTGATCACTCATGAAGATGGTGTAAGCTTCCTAAATAACAGTTAGGATATGCCCTCCCCCAAACACGTTCTATAGATAGGTTTAAAAGGCGTGTGAAAACATCAATTTTATGTCCTGTCTCCTCTGTAATAAGTTTCACAATATAGAAGCTAGGTCTCCTCCTCTCACCATTAATGGGTTCTGGGGATTCTACTTGCCTCGGATGCCATCTAGGAATATACCCTGTAGCCAGGCCTTATTTGCAGAGATCGATGAGTCCTCCCTTCTATGTAAGTGTGTCCACATGTACATTCAAATTGGTAAATACAGTGGGATGTGGCATCATTTTTCTCATGTTCTAAGGGCTTAGGTGGATATATTGGCTTTACATTCGCAATTATTATGATATTAGGTGCATAAAAAGTCTTTCTAACAGCAATGTTCAATTTTTGTCTAATTGCCAAGGTGCTTCGATCCTCCACATAGGGTAGTTTGATGTACACGTCTTAGTTAGGGGCGAGTTAGAGAATGGATCTTACTGCTCTGACTGTTTTTTATCTCCTGATGAGCCTGTCTGGATAATTATTATCAACCAAAGTCTGTATCAATCTTCTTTCTTCCTCATTAAGTGTATCTTCAGTGTATATTCGCTGGATTCTACTGAAAAGGCACCTTACAAAGGCTCTTTATTACCGAACAGGGCATCGTTACCCCACCGACCCCCGCAACCGCGAACCAAACTAAGACATCTTGCACATGACATGATAGATGGAGATACTAATCATTGTATATCTTTGGTTCTTCTTTCAACGTTAACAATCTTATTTAATAGATTAATCAAGTGATATAAGGATAAGACTTGGACAATGTAATAGAGTAGTGTAATCCCATTATGGAGAAAATTTTATTTTGATCAAGTCTCTCACAGTGTTTTTTTTTTTTAAATATTTTTATTCTTTTACATTCCCAGTGGAACATACAGCTTCAAGCTGGAGCTTTGAATTTTCAGTAGCAGGGTTGTTTATTTTTACGGGATGGAATTCCTAGCCTCATGCTCAATCTTTTCTCTTTACCAGTCTTATTACAGGCTTAGCGAGGTAAAGCAGTGCGGCGTCAGCCGAGGATCGAAATCCGGACAACAGACGTAGTTGGCGAACATCCTACCGCTGTGCCACCGACGCACAAAATGTTATACAGTAATATTTACTTCCATATTAGATCATTTTATTAACAGTACTATTAACAACTGGATGACAAGGTTAGGAGCATCAATTATTGCTCACTTACAATCATATCAATCTTAGTCACACGTTTTCATGAATTGTTCTATACACATTTTCTCTAATTCTGTCTCTCCAACTTCCCCCTTTGTTGGAATTTAATTTGTGGATGGTGGCTAGCAGTGGAATCCAGGATGCACATTTCGTCCTATTTGGGACTCGTCATCTGGATCTACCTGCATTTCCCAGTGAGTGGTGGTGTTCCCATCGAGGCTCGAACCCAGTGCTCATAGTTTCAGACGCCAAAGCGTTATCCACTAGACCACTTGGCCACGATAGCCACCTCTTGTGCAACGGATCATATTAATTTAATTGAATTTGAGATTTTTCAATGGAAAATCTTATCCAATAGGGAGTTACATTCTACCACAGTGCCCAAGTTCTGCATCTACATTAGTATTATTTACTGATGACGACGTCTCGAGGACAATTTATTACTGCTCATCATCATCATCATCACCATCATCATATCAAAGCACAACTCACACAACTTTCTGACTTCGTTAATATAATTCCACTACTTTTCATCTCTTGATTTGATTGATAGTAGTATTTTCCATAATTCCAGTATGAGTGATGAGTCATTCCTATTGCATGTGTTGGGTGTAGATTATTTGATGAACAAAGATTCAGTAATCAACCTCTCTTGTTCTCTCCACCTACATATATTACTTCTGAGAATTTTGACTCTGTCCCAACCTCTTGTGTGTGTGTGTGTGTGTTACTGCATATTAATGCCATTGTTGAGTTTTTTTTCTAAATTACTTATCTTCGAGGGGTCAATTATTCTAACCTTAGCTAAATTCTTATGTTCCGACAATCTGACTACCTCCGAACTACTGGTTTGACTCTTGTAGTTGACCTCACTCACAGGGTATTTTGTAAATTATATTATTTTGTTTAATTGGGTTAACTTACAGAGTCCTTTAACCCACAGTGCTTGTTCTGCCTGTGTGAGTTTGTAGGTTTCAATGGGGGAGACAGCTAGATGATGCTTCCACAATGTCAAAAACAGAACATATCTCTAGTTTCTTCACACACACACACACACACACACACACAAACTAAATAGTGAAAGGAATAAAATTAACATTTGAATCAAAAAATGAACATGGAAAATTAGCTATATCAGACTGTAAAATAAAACAAACGGAAGAAGGGAAACTGCACATCAGCGTTTATAAAAAGCCAACTCATTCTGCTAATAGATATTTAGACTTCAATTCATCTCATTCATTATCTGTCTGTAAAGGCATGCTTAGTTATTAAGTATCTAACATGCCGAGCAATAGCACCAAGTAGTTCAACAAAAAGACCTAAATGATAAAATGAAACAGATAGAACAAGAACCCCGGTGGGTGCGAAATGCTGAAGAGTCCCAAACTAGGCTGACGAAATAGCTGTCCAGTACTTCAGCGCTGGTTTTCCAATGGTTCTCTAACTGATGTCAGCTCATGATGAAATCCTCCAATCAATAGAACAAGAAGCGTTGGTGTTAAGTAAATGCTATATAAAATTCATTAGGAAACTATTGTATGTCTTGTTCTTCTTGTTTTAATGATAACAATCTTATCGGACAAATTAACCAAGTGATAATGCGGTGGGGGTGAAATTAAAATCTCAGGCACATTTGGATTTGAATATGTTAAGCCTGTATCACTTAGCACATAAGTATGTACTAAGTCAAATGACCCGCTTTGTATCAGTGTAAAAAAATGGCTAGGAGTGGAGTTGTACATGTACGTTTTGTTCTATTTGGGACTCATCAGCTGTATTTACTAGCAGCCCCACTGAGTGACAGTGTCTCTACTGAAATCCGAATCCACCAACCATCACTGTAAGCGCTAAAGTATTGCCCAATAGGTCACCCAAAACAGCCTCTTATTGCTGTTATATGTTTAAGTTATTATTTCCCACTACAGATCTTCATCAACAGCTGTCTTCGCTCAATACTCAAGAACAAATGGCCAGCCAGAAAAGATCAACAACAGGGATCTCTAGGAGCGAACGGACGAACCAGGAACCAACTGTGCAACAAATATGCAGGAAGAAATGGAGGTGGATTGGCCATTCCCTGAGGAAACCATCAAGTGACATCACACACCAAGTTCTCTCTCTCTCTCTCTCTCGAGTGGAACCCGAATGGGAAGCTGAGAGTTGGTCGCAGTACGACGGTAACATGGAGGAGGTCACGCGAAGAGGAGATGTCTGTCTGTCTGTTTTCGACATAGAACTTCGCACAAATGTGCGGAAGTTCAAGTCGCCACATTCCGTGTAGCACGCGAAGCAAGAGAAGAAAGTGCAAGAAAAGCATAATAGAAACAGTGAGCAGAGGTGTGAGACAAAGGAGTAATAAAGAAATACAAAACAGTTTCATTGGAGATCATAAGTCACAAGGAGTGGATGCATCTGCGCCACTGAGAACGATTTTGAGCCATGTCACCAATTGTTTCCAACCATAGATTTTTACCGTCCCGAGGACCCCAGCCTGGAAGTCTACACCTTTCTACGTGGCTTAGACCAACTGTTGTGGATTTCATTGACTGGTGCCAAGTTTTTGTTTGACCGCCGCTAGCTTTTTTCCAGCCTGGCCCTATATCCGCTAACATTGCTCGTCGAGGGAGGCGATGGCTTGGCATACGTAACACATGTCCTAACCATCTCAGTCTTTGTAGCTTCACGACTTCGTCGATTGATTTCCCCTGTTTACCTAGAACTCGACGCCTAACTTCAATGTTGCTCACCTTATTGTGCCACTTTACACGGGAAATAGAACGCAGGCACCTATGATCAAAGACAGCTAGTCTTTTCATGTCTTCCACTCTCAGTGGCCAGGTCTCACAACCATAAAGGAGGACGGAGCGGACTGATGAGCAGTACACCCGCCCTTTGGTCGATAGTCGAACATCTCGTCTACGCCAGAGTCGGCGTAAACTAACAAATGCGAAACGAGCCCCTTGTATTCGTGCTGAGATTTCGTCAGAGATCAGCCCGTTGGGGCTGATGGTACTTCCCAAATAAGTGAAGCGGTCAACGTGCTCTACCACTTCACTTCCTATTTTTAAACTAGGCGTCGATGTAGTCCAGTCCTGTAACATCATCTTGCATTTGGCGGGAGCGAATCGCATGCCAAACATTCGTAGATTGCTACTGCTCAAGGTGTTCAGAAGACTCTGCATTTCGTCAGCGTCTTCGCCTAGAAAGACTATATCGTCTGCATATTCCAAGTCAACGAGATTATTCCCCGGTAGCAAGTCAATCCCTGAGTCACTGAAGTCACCTAGGGTTAAGTCCATTAACACATCTATGATGAAGTTGAATAGAAAAGGAGATAATGGGCATCCTTGACGGACACCACTGGTCGTCATCAGTTCAGATGACAGCTCGCCGTAAGCCCTCACCTGGCTGTATGAGTACGAGTAGAGTGCCTTAATCAGTGCAATATATTTTCTCGGAATTCCCTTTACAGCCAAGCATCTCCAGAGAACTTCCCGATCGACAGAGTCGAATGCTGCCTTTAGGTCAAGAAATATAATGACTGTTGGACGCCGGTAGGAGATGAAAGAGCTTGGGCAGACGTGGAGCCAGATGAAAACGTTGGAGGAGAACCGAACGTAATGGAGACGTGAGGCTGAAGCCCTAAGTTCCTCTAATAACTAAAGGAAACAATAATAATTATTATTATTTCCCAGCTGCTATGTGCATCAATGATACATTACTTGTTTCGTTTATCACTCTACACTCGCTCACCAACCCCTAAGCGAAACATAATAACCAACAAGTATCGATCAGTTTCCACCGGTCAACCGGTTAACTGGCCAACTACACATCTGATACAACCAATGTGAGAAGAGAATAAAGGGGGAAAGAAAACAATCATAGTAAAATATCGCATGTTCCATTGGCTTATAGTCTAAAAATCTTAGGTAATGGGCGCGTACTTCTGAAGAGTCCCGGACTAGGAAGGAACGAATTTCCAGTACCCTCTGGTTCGTACACATCGGTGGTTCAATGACAGGACGCTCTTCAACCACTTGGGGGGGTACAAGTTCGACTCCCAGCCAACGAATACACTCCTTAACCTTGTCTAGAGTTTGCTAGTAAGCCCAGAAAGGAAAGCAGGAAGGTTGGGCGTAAGGACAGCTATCCCACCCAGTAAAAAAACAACGTCATCGTTACTGTGCGCGTCGCGTCGTTGGCACAGCGGTAGAATGTTCACCAACCATGCATGCAGTCCGGGGTTTGATCCCCGGCCGACAGACGCACTCATTTACCTCACTAAGGTTGGGCATGAGGCTGGCTAGCAACCCCATCCCGTAAAAGTAAAACACCACTGTTGCCGAAACTTTAGGCCGCTAGCTTGAAGCCCCATGTTCGACTGGAAACGTAAAGGAATAAAATAATAGTAGTAGTAATAATAATAATCGTTACTGGAACTGCAAAACTTGAAACTCTCTGTCCCACTCAAAATGCAAAGGGGTGAAAAAATAATCATAAAAATAAAACATACAATTGCCAATCCCAGATTTCCGACAGGTGTATTTTCAACGACAACGGGAGTATTTTTACCGGCACGCATCGATTTTGACTCAGAAAATAATGATTGAGTAGACGATGACTAGAAGACAAGAAGGGAGGGAGAAAAAAGAAACAAATTAATCAGGAGATCGCCAAATAAAAGTTTCGATCATGTGAAACTATTAAAATATAATCAGAACAGTCACAAAAAAATAAAACAACAAAGCGACGGATGATTCTACGACTTTCCCGTTGGTTAATTGGGTTGATGTGCTCGGCCGCCTCATATTGACATGTCGGCGCCTTGTGCTGATGCCTTGACGGCGTCTGAGAATTTCACTTGAAACAAATTGGTGGATGGGTGACTAACAGTTGAATCCACTAGGATAACGCGCGTTTCGTCCTATTTGGGACTCATCAACCAACATTCCTAGGTGAGTGTCCCCGCTGTGGTTCGAACCCAATATCCATAGTTTTAAATGCCAAAGCGTTATCCACTAAACCACTTGGGCCACAAGAACCACCTGTATCTTGTGCAGCTGGCATTAGTAATTATTTAATTTAATTAGGACTTTGCAATTGATGCACACACACATCCTGGATCCCATCGCTAGTCACCGCCCGCCAATTTACTTAAATACAATTTATTGTTACGTCTGACAAACTATGGTAATCTTTATTTGGTCAAATTACCAATAGAAGTATGGATTATAATATCCTGCCTTCTTAGTCAAAATAATTTGGGTTTATTTGGGTTAATTGACCTGTCATGTCTTTATTTCCCTGAAAATTTAAGTAACTAATACAGGTATGATCAGAGTACTAGGGAGGTCTGGCGCAAACATATCGCATTTTTCCTGATACAATTCGACTTTTAGTAAATAAAGTTATCCAAGTTTGTTAAAGGGTTTAAATGTCCAGAAAGAGGACAGACGTATGCAAAGTAGTACGCACCCAGAGGCGTTCAAACCCAGGATATTCGGGTTACATGAGACGGCAGGTCGGATATGAGGACGAATACTAGCCAGTGATGACACATTGGCTAGTACCAGTCGCGCTACCTGGTGAATTGGCAGAAATTGGAATAATTGCGCTAGCCATTGGACTGGCGGCTTCCACTGGCTGAATGGCCTACGAGCTAGCTTGACTTGTAACCGGAAGGTCATGTGTATGAACCCTGGCAGTGAAGTGGATGCGTGCTGATGAATATTTCGAAACTAGGCTGACGAAACAAACGTCCGCTAATTTCTGCAGGTTTTCTCCAACTGATGTTGAAACCTGGCCATTGTGAGTGGAAGACACGAAAAGACTAGCTGTCTTTGATCATAGGTGCCTGCGTTCTATCTCCCGTGTGAAGTGGTATAATAAGATGAGCAATATTGAGGTTAGGCATCAGTCGAGTGCTAGGTAAGGAGGGGAAATCAATCGACGAGGCTGTGTAGCTACATCGACTGAGATGGTTAGGACACGTGTTACGTATGCCTAGTCGTCGCCTTCCTCGACAATGGGCAATGTTAGCTGACATAGCGTCAGGCTGGAAAAGAGCTAGCGGAGGTCAAACCAAAACATGGCTTCATCAGTCAATGAAATATACAACAGTTTAAGCCAGTGACGTAGGTAGGTGTAGACTTCCTGACTGGTTGGGGTCCTCGGGACGGCAAAAACCAATGGCAGGAAACAATTGGTGATATGGCTCAAAATCGTTCTCAATGACAGTGCAGATGCATCCACTCCTTGTGACTTACGATTTCCAATTAAACTATATTGTTCTTCGTTACTACTATTCCTTTGTCTCACACCTCTGTTTACTGTCTCTATTATGCATTTCTTCTACTTTCTTCTCTTGCTTTGTGTGCTACATGGAGGGAGTGTGGTGACTTGAACTGCCGCACATCGGTGCAAAGTTCTATGTCGAAAACAGAATGACTGACTGACTGATGTCAGTTCATGATGGTGGAATCTTGTAACCACCAATCAAATCCCTGCAAACCAACACTTGATTTGATAAATGTATGAATTATAAAAAGTATTATAAAAGTTTTACGTCATGAGAAATGCTTTTTCATACTTCTATTGGCAATGCTAATTAATGCAGGTAGAATGTTGGATCCAGGTCAGCTTCCGTCATAATCCTTTATTCCTATTCACATATTATTTGGATTCCATTGTGTGCAAACTGATGCTCCTATGAGACGCTTTTGTGACATTTCAGAATTTTTCAGGACGATTACACAACCATTAATGTAGTGATACGTTGGAGTGAACTCCTAGCGTATAAGATTATGGTTGAAGAATTTCCCAAAGATTACAAGCATCAATGAACTTGTTGTTCGCTGAGCAGAAATATTCATTTCCTTTGACTTACATTTCTGCAGAAACTTCCCTGAGGAGTAGTGAACCACCTGTTTTTTATTCCTTCACGTTCCCTGTGGAACACAGGGCGGCTTCAAGCTTTAGCTTTGATGTTCCAGTAGCAGTAGTGTTGTTCTATTGGGTGGGGTTGCTAGTCTCATGCCCAACCTTTCCTCTTTATCGGGAGTGTAACCGTCTAAGGGAGGTAAGGGTGTGCGCCGACGGGGACTTGAACTCCGGACCACATGCATGGTAGGCCAGCGATCTACCGCTGAACCAACGAAACCACCATATAAACATTTCATTCAGTAAACACAATAAAATCTTCGAATCCCTGTAATTTAGTCTTTTACGCATTAAACAGATTATTAAGAAGCATATCTGGTTATCTAAAGAATACTCTAATGCAGCATTTATTGATTATTTGCCTGATCTCGACTTGTATCTTATAACATTTCGGAATAACATGGTTTCGATGAACTTTGTCAGCCACACATTTAACTATGTTCATTATTCTCAAGATAAAATACCTTGTATGGCTATGCAGTGTGATAATTTTAGTTATAATCGTCATTTATAAATATCCAAACCAAGTTCACTTTTAACAGTTTGACAAATTTTGGGCACTGAATATATGATATTCATTGTATTTCCAAGTGAATCAAAAACAAAACGATATTGTTTTACTGACGTTCCGCTATTTATTGCTGCTAATAGCTTTATCAAAGTATTATTAAACCAGAATTTACAAAATCTCAGCCTATATATATATATATATATATATATATATATGGTTCTCTAACTGGCATCAATCCATGATCAACTCGTAAAAACAAAACTAACCCTTACAAACCAAAACTATAGAAAATTAATCCGATGCTCGCTAGTGACTTGCTACAGGATGGAGTTTCCTGGAGTCAGTTCTAGTGAGAGTTCGTGACCAGTGAAGTCCATCCAGATGTCACGTGTAAGGATGGATGTCCCAACGACGATATTGGTTGGGGTCGCGCTAAATCACGAACTGGTAGAAGTTAGAATTCATGCACTAGCAATTGAATCGGGTCCCAGTGACTGATGGTATACGAGCTAGCTTGCCTTGTAACCGGAAGGTCCTGGGTTCGAATTCACGTGGGTGCGTACTGTCGATGATTCCCAAACTAGGCTGATGAAACAGCTGTCCAGTACTCCCTTGTTTTCAATGGTTTTCTAACATATCAATTCGTGGTCAAACTCGTAAAAACATAACTAACCCTTACAAACCAAAACTATAGAAAAGCGTTAAGAGATGAGAAAATAGACTTACGTCAAGTTAAAAGGACATATTGAAAGTCAAAATAACAAAGGTAATAGTACATCCGCTACGGCATCAAAACAAAGTTTACTAACTTGATCATTGTTCGTCAGTATGGGGTCATTTTTCGTTGTCTAGTTGACCAATTGGTAAAGATAACAAATCCAATGTGATAAACAATATCATCATATAAACACACGCTGTTTTATAATTTTACACACTTATGAAATCCAACAACCTATACACACTTGGTTTTGTTGTCTTTACCAATTGGCCAACTAGACAACGAAAAATGACCCCATACTGACGAACGATGATCAAGTTAATAAAATTTGTTTTGATACCATAGCAGATGTACTATTACCTTAGATATTTGGTTTAGTGATCTTCATTGTTATTATTTATTATAATGACTGGTGACTTTAACGCTCAAGTAGGGAAATTGTGTCAATCTGAGAAGGATGTCGGTGGCACCTATGGAGTTCCGTGCCAGCGAACCGACAACGGTGACCGTCTCCTACAGTTCTGTTCAGATAATCATTTGTTTCTTGTAGGTACTAACTTTAAACACAAGGAGCGACACTGTTTAACCTGGCGACCCCCATCATCAAACCAACGCTGGACACAAATAGACCACATAGCAATAAGCTATCGTTGGCGTGGGTCGGTAGGAGATTGTCGCTCCTTTTGGAACACGTGTGTAGATACCGATCACGCACTGGTCCGGGCTCGTGTGTGCTTACGACTGAACGGACGTAGGAAACAGCTGGCGGTAAAACCATCACGTCCCCAGCTCGATCAGGAAACTAAATCCGTATTTGAGGAAGAACTAGCTAAACACATATCTGAATTCGACAGCTGTGCTCACCCTGGAGAAGCCTGGAAGAATATTCAGTCAGCTATAGATACAGCTGTAAAAGCTGTGAATAAGGCAAATCCAAAGGTGAGTAAAAACCACTGGATTTCGACTGCCTCGTCCGAACTGATAGATGCTAGAAGACTTATTCCGGCGAGCTCCGAATTCAATGAGGAGCGAAAGCTGCACAAAAGGAAACTTACTAAAAGTCTCCGTAAGGACCGTGAACAGTGGTGGGTGACAAAGGCAAAAGAGATGGAAAAAGCATCGGCGATAGGCAACACTAGGCAACTCTTTCGACTCATCAGGGAAACGGGCGGGAGAAGGCAAATCATAAGTGAGACTATTTCTGAGAAAAATGGCTACTTAATTAGCTCTCAGGATAGACGCCTTGAACGCTGGAAAGAACACTTTGAGGAACAATTTAACTTGCCTACAGCCACACTGAACCTCCCCGCCATCCACCACGTACCCGAATGGGATATAGACACTGGTCCGCCGTCTGTAGGTGAGGTTACAAAAGCTATCTGTAATTTGAAACGAGGCAAAGCGGCAGGACCCGACGGAATTATTCCGGAGGTGTTAAGCGTCGGTGGCATAG